CACACACACACACACACACACACACACACACACACACTCACACACATCCACACACACGCACATACTCTTTACAATAACGAAAAACTGCAAATACACATGATGCAAATGGACGGAAAAAAGTTCAAGAAATCTTTCAGAATATAAAAGTGTATAATATATAATACGTAACTGTTATGCAGTATTAAGTATTCTAGTAAGAATAAACGTTCGGGAGAATCGGTGGGGAAGAATAGATGCAATGGGAAAATGTACGTCCATGTTAAGGCACTTTCCAGTCAAAATTCTCGAATGATAAGACACATGACTAATGAGGCAGTCAGAAATGGTTTAAATATGTAAGACATGTTCCCAACTCAATTGTCAATAAGTGTGGGGGGGGGGGGGTAAAAAGTATGTGAATACTAAGCTATCTTTACTGACAAACATACGAAGCTATCATTACTGCCAAACAGAGTAGGTCATTCAAACAATTAACTCTACTAGAACTAAAAGAAACGAAATGAAGGAAGAACAGTAAGCCTGAGCAAAGATACGACACGAAGCAAGAACAGCAACTACAAAAGCCATGACCCGACATGCGTGCGGTGAGCTATGGGCTTTACCCATACTGGGGCTCAAAATAGGTCACCTCTTTTTTCATATTTTATTTTGCTTGAGCTCTAAATAAATTAATATAAGAGTTTCTTACTTTGTTTTCAAAATCGTTTTACGAAAAATTCAAACAATGGAAACAATAAAAAAAACTAACACACCAACAATCAAAAACAATAACAATGAACCAATGATCAAAAGCCCTGTCTACATAAAAATAAAACTATGAAAAAGCTTTTGCTGGAATGGTTCAGTTCATCATAGTATGATCTTAACAGTCTCTGACCACAACATGAAGCATGCGCCATATTCATTTAACAAATAGATTTGACTGATGGATGAACAAACACACAATATGTGTTGCAGTACATGATTTTTCAGCACACACACAAATGCTCAAACACATTCACACTCTCTATGTATTCCTCTGGTGTATATATAATGTCTGCCTGTCTGTCTGTCTGACTGCTTGTCTGTCTGTCTGTCTGTCTGTCTGTCTGTCTGTCTGTCTGTCTGTCTGTCTGTCTCTCTCTCTCTCTCTCTCTCTCTCTCTGATGTGCCTGCGCACACTAGCTTCCACACACACACACACACACACACACACACACACAAACACACACACACACACAACCAAAACTGCCCCCAAGCACCCCACAGCCGACGCCCCTGGTATCTGGCACACTGCTAAGCCGTGGAGGTGCCGGGAGTAGGGCCGGCGCCTTTCACCCCCTCCGGTATGGACGGGTTCATGACGTCAGAGGGCAGCACGTCATAGCCCAGCTTCTTCATGTCTTTGGTGATGATGTTGAAGGAGACTGTCACGAAGCCCTGGGATCGAACTCGGGTCACTGGGGATATAGAAAAACAATTGTGATTAACGCAAAAGGGTAAAAGATTTCTCTCTCTCTCTCCGTCTCTCTCTCTCTCTCTCTCTCTCTCTCTCTCTCTCTTTCTCTCTCTCTCTCTCTGTCTCCCTCTCTCTCTCTCTCTGTGCGCGCGAGTGTGTGTGTGTGTGTGTGTGTGTGTGTGTGTGTTTGTGTGTGTGTTTGTGTGTCTGGGCGGGGGGAGGGGGGGGAGGGGCGACTCGTTGGCATCTCATACACTGACCACGTCACAAAAGAGAAGGTGCGCAGTAGAGTATAACAACATATGAGGCATTATGAAGAATTGCTGTCGACTGTGAACGAAAAAAAAACCTACAATGGTATGGCCATGTAACAAGATCGTGTGACCTATCCAAGACCACTCTTAAGGGAACTGTACAGGTGAGGAGAAGTAAAATGCAAAGGAAGAGGTGGACTGACAACATTGCGGATTGGACAGGGAACTCCTTCGTCCAAACTCAGGCACTTGCAAAAACCGTAGAAAGTGGAGGCACATAACAATGCTCTTTGTCATACAGCGTCCGTACCATCCTGGCGGATTATGGGATCAGTAACAGTGAACGTGTGTGTGTGTGGGGGGGGGGGGGTCTTGTTAGTTTAAATGAGTGCATAACAGGATAATAATCACATTGGGCAGGGCACAATTTTAGGCGAGAAACAGCACAGAGAAAGTTCGGAATTAGGAGAGACCAACGCTCAGTCTGCAAATTCATGTTTAACGACCCTTGAAACGCTCTAGGGTTATTAAGATAATGCGGTACATCCTAATTCAACATCCTTATTCGACACGACTGAGCCAAATGAGAACATGGTCGGTTATAAAACGCCTTTCGTATAGACTCAATATCGGACCCTGATGAGCCTTGAAACCCTTAAAACCGAAATCTCATTGTTACGAGTCAGGTACCCTAACCACAAGACCAGTCTCTCATATGACCTTATGCAGTTGCGAGCGCCGTAAAACCTCTACTAAAAACTAACCACAGTCTCTCCCTAGGAAGAGAAATATATGTACTTACGAAAAATGCAGGCGTGACTTTGCTAAACGTTAATAAATGAAGGCGGTACGAAAGTATACATTTTGGAAAATAAGAAAGAATTTAAGTTAGAGTTGTTTGTGAAACGTATCTCATTTCTTTGAGTAAAGAGAAGCACAATGACACAATAATTGTCATAATGTTGGGAAAAAGTAAAACGAACAGACAGAAACAACAGAGGGAAAGTAAAGAAGTACCTACCAGAGGCACCCTCCAAACACCCACAACGTATCTGATTGGTTATTAGAGGTATGCAGGAATATCACTTCAACACAACATGGGTCTAGCAATTTCAGGAATGAAATGAGAGCTAAACAAAGAAAACACCTTTAATTCCCCTAAGCCACTCCCCACAGTTGGATCTAACCTTTTCAAAAAATGGAAATTACAAATAAGAATCGGAACACAAAAATAAAGTTTGAGTTCTGATCGTCATTTTCAAAACATATCTACATGCTCACTCAAAATCATAAGCAAAGTCCTCTTGTTCTAACATGGACACAATGCTTTTGCTTTGGAATCATCGGCTGCCTTCAGATCAAAGTGAATACTCCCCATAACTGAGTCGACACTCATCAGCGAGTCTAAGCCACAAAGCGCGTCGTAGTTATAATGATCGATGTGTTACAGCCCCATCGATAACATTTTGGTAATTTAGAAGACGAGATGCTTCGATCCTGCCCGTCGGGACCAACCCAGGCTGACAGACAGACAGACAACCTTTACTGAAAAATCCCCCCTACATGGGGAATCGAAGTCAAGATTTCTGCATGCGACGGGCAAAGTAAGAGCCAAACCATCGTCTTAGTACCTCACTATGACAAAACAGTTGATCGGCGGTTTTGATGGTGAGTTGTGGACTGACAATTAGAGAATCACGACTAAATAAAAGTGTTGTGGTCGTGAGGCAGGCTTCTCTTATTATCATTTGTCCACAACTCATACTTGTATCAACAAAACCGTAGGCTATTTTGTCCTTGTGCGTACGGGCTAAGACCACAGACGCTGATGGCAAACGAATAAAAGAAAATACAAGGGGAAAAAGGCTGAAAGGGGAGAAACGGGTTACAGCTCATAGACAAATGTCAGACAGTCCTCTGATTCCGTATGCAGACATGTCAATAGAAGCAGACAAACGCTTGGGCGAGAGGGAGGGGAGAGGGGAGATGTTTTCATCTAGGAGGCTGCGTCTTTGTCATCGGCTAGAGAAATAAACACTACGGTGCGTAGGTTTAATCATCTACTCTTCCAGATTGTTTGTAAATTATCAAACCTGTTTATTGTCAATTTGGGAGGTGTCTTACAGGGAGGAAGAGAGGAAGAACCTGTTTTAGGGCCCTATCGATACGAAAATGAATAAGTACGCCACGGGATTCTTTTGTCAGGGCGAGCCAGGACGGAGTGAAACATGGTACGACATGCATCCCAGCAGAAAAAAAGACACAACCACACGCTCCAGCGCAAGTGGTGTAGCGGTTACACACTTTATTGTCGCAGGCAGCAGACCCTAGTTCGATATCTGAGTGGGGAAAATTTTCATTGAGTATCTCAGGTTGTTTTTTTCTGCTGAGACGCTGTATCCCTCCCAGCTCAAGTTGGCCCTGACTGACAGAGTCGGAAGCCCGCCTCCTAAAATATGTGAGGCAGCGTGGTGGAATCAGGCTCTCGTCAAAATAATCAAAGTGAAGAAACTTGCTTTTTCTGTTGATTTGTGATTTTTTAATCAAATTTTTGTTTTTTGACTCAACACCTTTCATGCCCATTAAAGAACTCATTTCTGTGTGAATAATTCTGAAAAACGTTGATTAAAGGCACAAAAAATGCAAATTTTCAGTTACCACGGAATCTTAAGCTAAGGAAATAACTAATCTTTGACGGCCTTTTGCTCACCAATTTTACCTCTGAAAACAGGTGACCCCCACCTCATTCATTCGCAAATATCACGACTTGTATTCAAGATAAAAGGACATTTTTTTCATCTAAATAAACACAAGTGAACAAGCTTTACGATGAAACCAATAACTCTACATGCTCAAAAAGTGACGAGAGCCTGATTCCACCACGCTGCCTCACATATGATTTACATTGTGTCGATGGGGGCGTAAAGACACCTACATTAAAAGACCAGCGATGCGCAACACAACAGACTTCACCACGACGAAGTGCCTAACCATTAAACACACACAAAAAAGAAAACTGAAAATTGCAAAAGTGTATAGGTATAACGCCCCTTTACTTTCAACACTGAGGTATTTAACAGGCCGGAACTCCGAATTTAACGTCCATCTCCGATAAGATCGGGACAATCGGGCGGGGACCTTTGGACACTTCCAAAACAACTCGAGTTCAGAACGCCACGTTGGATATTCGATCCAGGACCATCTGCTCCGAAGTCCAGCATGGCGTTAACTTAAACAATGGTATATGGGGGCTCCAGTGGCAAAGTGAGTAGAGAGTTTAGACTCAAGAGTAAAGTCAAGCAAGTGTCGGTGACACGGGGATCAGATGGGTGGTCACTGGGGCGTGTCCTTGAGCAAGACACGACAAACCCTAGCTAAACAGTCAGGGCGCTGCACAGTGGTGTGGTGTCTAGCAATGGCATGGTAGTGAAATTGTTCTGTATTGGTGCAATATTGTGTATCTATGTATGTATATATCTATAATCATGTATTTATGTATGTATGTATGTATGTTTGCCATTATAAACCAAACTGTTCTTCTGTGATCAATAAAAATGCAATTTATGATTATTATTACTATTATTTATTTATAAGAGAGGGGTATTGCCAAGGCAGTGAGGAGATAAATTCATGAAAGAAAAGAAACCAAATGACGGAGTTCTGAAAAAAAGCCCGAGTGGGGCGCTGAGAAATACACCCTCCCCCCCCAAAAAAAAAATAAAATAAAAAAACAAACAAAAACAAGAGGCACGTGCAGTTTCTGGGACACTCAAACAGACAACAGGGTTTTAAACATCTCGCTCTCTCAGGGGGAAAACAAGGCAAAAGAATGGGAGGTAGACCAGGAGCAACTTAATATTATGGGATTTGAATAGACCAATGCAATAAAGTCTGTATCAAACGGTGGAAGCACAGAAAATTACATGCTTTAGTTTTGATGAATTGTTTTACGGCACTTGCAAAACAAACCAGGCATATAAGCGCAAAAAAGAGCCGTTATTAGACTGTAAAAAAATACGAAGAACAGAAAGGCTCTCTCTCTCTCTCTCTCTCTCTCTCTCTCTCTTT